TTAAAGCTTGTGCAGCTAACATATTTCTAACTTTTGTCACACAGATCAAATTTCATCTTCTCCAAAATCAGTCTGCATTCAATGAAAATGTTAATACACTTTGATGAGTAAATGTTAAAGTGTCGTTTCTAAACAGGAAAATGTTCCTTTTAAATTGATGCTTCACATGCACACAGCTCACATGTTAACTAAGTTACCGAGGAAGAGAAATGTTCGAATCTGTACATGCAGAGCAATTTACATGATTTGGGCCGTGCTATTTAAATCACAACTCAGTATGGCTGGAGAATCTGCAAACATTTCCAGTCAAATAGCTGTTTTTTTGTGCATTCTCGGGTGCCCCAACCAGGGCCCCCTAAAGTCAGATAATGTTGGGCTAACAGAAAAAATAAAATTATGAATTCCTTAACTAGGGTTCCCCATTTTATATAATTTTTCTTAAATAGGCCTTGCATTACATTTTTATGTCAAGTACATGTAGGAGAAGCAGCCCACTTAATGCAGGCATGTAGCCAAAACCAATTTTAGGTAACTGATATTTTCTCACCCAAGACAATATGGAATCCATCAATACCTGTCATGGAGCTGGTATCTTTCCCGTACTTCTTCCAAAATGACTCTCTTTGGTCCCTCTCCTCCAATTATGAAATTTAAATTGGGATATTTCTGACAGAGTTCAGGTATTATACCACTAAGCAAATCGGTCCCTGAAAACATCAAGTTGAATGTTTGAGTTATCAATAATTAACCTTAAAAAAAATTTTATCAGAACTTCTGAGAATCCACTCACTTTGAAAAGTAATATTAGCTATGCCTCCCTTACTTAAGGAGAGAAACAAATTCTCTCAAACCTTTCCTGGAATGGTGGAATCGTTCAAACTGCCAGGGGTCCCCCAAGAGTTCTTGAGGATATATACACTGACACCCATGGGTACCTTCCACACACCCAGTTCGTGGACTATTCTGTTCCGTTTCAACATTGTGTTGTAGGTTATTCACCTGTGTTTACACACCTACTGCTAAAAAATGGCATTTGAGGTAGCTTACATTTCAGTTAAAACTTTCTGCAGAGCAGGAGAGCTGACTGGAGATCTGGGTCTTGACCCAGCCTTTTTATGAGCAAACTCTGATAATGGGACTTTCCTGATAAGAGAAAATGAACAGACCGACGTACCTGAAGTCCAAGGTCTCTTTCACCTACAAAATTCTACCAGCGTTATGATTCTACTTCCTACTATAGGAAAGGGCTAAGGAGCAAAATATGACTGCTGCCTCCATTGTGTTGAGAATGCAGTTTGTACAGAGGACTTTGCAGCGAACACTAGGGTATTAGCAAAATTTGTAAGAGTCCATCCAAATCTGCTACAGCCCACTTCCCCCGAATGACAGTGAATGAAGGTGGCAGGACTTCCACTGCCAGATCATTACAGTCTGCAGAACAAAAGGGTGCATCTTGGTCCTTTTTTTTCTTTTTAATGAAACTTTCTTATGTTTATACAACCTTAGGTAATATAAAGCAGCAAAATAAATCATGCCCTACTAGTCTGAAAGTAGCAATCCAAAGTGACAGCAGTGTTGATGTTTAAGAATTTAGCTCATTAACAAGTACAAATCATACACATTCAAAAGTAAATGTAAAATAAGCCAGTTAAAGAAATGCATACACATACATACACAAGAACTGCACTTCTATCAATCTTCCCAAATACAGGCAGATCAATTATTAAAAAGATGGTAGGAGAAATAATATATATAGGGTCATTTTTATTAAATAATTCCAAGTAGGATTTATTACGTAAACTCTGCTAGTATTTTCAAAATATGACTGCATTAGCAAACATAAATTCACACGTGGCTTTTTTTGTTATTGTTTTTGCGGTACGCGGGCCTCTCACTGTTGTGGCCTCTCCCGTTGCTGAGCACAGGCTCCAGACGCGCAGGCTCAGCAGCCATGGGCTCACGGGCCTAGCCGCTCCGAGGCATGTGGGATCTTCCCGGACCGGGGCACGAACCCACGTCCCCTGCACCGGCAGGCGAATTCTCAAACACTGCACCACCAGGGAAGCCCCACATGTGGCTTTTCTGAATTATGAAAGCTTCTCATTAAAATCTTACCTATCTTTGTTTCAAGTTTATTACCAAGTCCATCAACTGGATTTTTAGATAAACCAGAAGGTGTCTTAATGACTTTTAACAAGTTACCTCGTATAATTGTTTCCTTCCCCTCCCTCCTTGCCCTCTCTCCCTTCTAATACAAAGGTTAAGAATCCATTCTTTAAATGAAAAAAGCCCAAAACCCCACATCTAGAGCAATAATCATAATTAGTAACAATAGCTACAATTACTGAGGGCTTACTATACCAGGCGGTGGGCTTTAAATGCATTGTTGTTTAATTCTGACAAGTACTTTAAAAGAAACGGAAACGATTAATATTATCAACGATCTATATTATTATTCTAAGAATAAAGGTTTTTTCCCCATAATAAGAAATGTTCTCGTGCCTCTAGCAAGCGTCCAACACAATGAAACATACCAAAGGACTTTCAATTGCCATATTCTCACAAAATGGACAAGAAAAGCTCTGATCTGAAGTGCTTCTAAAGCACAGTCTAATAGAATCTTCTGAATCTATACCTAGGATAATGGTGGCTGGGCTGAGGGTGGAGGGAACAGGAGACCTTAACTGCAGAAGAGCTCAACTCAGGCTTGTCATCTCTGTTACTTACTGTGTAACCTGGGTGAGTTACTTACCCCCTCTGAGACTCAGTTTCTTTGTCTGTTACATGCAGATAACATCTACCCTACAGTTGCTGGGAGGGTCAAGTTAGGTACTGTATCATGTACAGGCTTTATCAACTGCAGAATATAAATGTAAGTCATCATTAGCACTAGAGCAGAAGTGGGGCATGTCTGCACATGCACGTGAGCACTGCTAAACCCTGCCTGAGAGCAAAACAGGCTCAATGGAAGAGGGAAGAGGCCAGGGATCCTGGGTAATAGGACTTCTGATTTATTCTCTCTTACTTAATATGTTCCAGTGGCCTTTGATATCTGGTCCAAATGAACACCTCCTAAAGAAATTAATTCATTAATAATTAATGGACCATTAATACAACTACTCACGTTTGAACTACAGATGTGGCCATTCCTTCTCAGAATGTTACTTTTTGCACAGTGCCTGACATACGGAAAGGGTTTGATAAATATTTGTTAAATGACTGAACTGAGAACGGGAAAGGCTGTACCTTCACTCTTTGGTGGTTAGCTCAGCTGGTTAAAATACCATAGTTAGTGCAGTAAAGGTAAAGGTTCAATCTTTGAACAGGTAAGTTAATTTTGCTCTGATCCTTGACCATGCACGCATCATATGCTTTCTCAGCTAGCTATCTCACAAAGGTATATTATTTGGTGAAAAAACAAAATAGGCACATTTCTTAAGTTACAACAAACACATTACCAATATCCCAAGAGGGCTTCAGAACACAGAATGCTGCTCCATTCACATCTTCTTCAAGTAAGGAATGGAAGCATTTCATTGCCTTCACCCCCAAAAACGCAGTTCAGTAGAAGTTTTCTCACCAACCTCCGCTTAGTGGATCACTGCATGGACCAAGGCTCTCCATTCCAAAGGTAAAACATCGTGGCCAAGGCCCACATCTGGATTTTAGGCCACTCCCTAGTACACTGGGACACTTCTGATCCCACCGCTGAGCTTCATGCTTACCAAGAATCAGCTGCATTTGTCCACAAATCTGTCTGATGCCTATTTTGTTATATTTGTTACAGTATTTAAATAGCACAAAAATGGACAAAATGAGTTTCTGTGGAACTAAGCTGAACGGTTTGAAAAATTCAATAAAGACACAGTAAAAAAAAAACCTTGTCAGATTAGGGGATATCCTGAACCACTGTATAAGGTCAAAAACAAATGAAAAATCCAGAAGTACATGACTTCATGTGCCTTTAGGTTCTCACCACATTTAAGAGACCCAAACTGGCAACTGTAAGTTATACTTTTTAAAGGTGACTGTGCAAGAAGGAAGATGCAGCTCAAATCAGTGGACCAGTACTCTTAAGCCTGCAGGCCTAAACCAAATTATTGGTGATTCAGTGCATGGTAATAATATTTTGAGTAAATTAAAATATTTTAAAGGGGGGCGTTTACATATTATCTTTTTAACAATTCCCCACTTTTAGTGACAATTTTGATTGCTGGACAGGTTTTCAAATACCATCCAGAAAACCATTTATGTTTTGAATAACTGGACTGCTTCAGACTTTTAGTCAGCAAGGCTCTACAAATTCTACTGTGGCATCCATAAAGTGCTGCAGAGGCACTAAAACAATCCTCCTTGTGCACAGCAGACACATACCGAGTACAAATTGGGCTAAGTACTGTACAGGAACCATCACTGAACCTCACAAGATTACCAATGTTGCCCAAATCACACAATAGAAAAAAATTGAGACTCGGAGATGTCAAGTAGCTTGTCTTTGATCACACAGGAGGATGGAGCCAGGATCAGACTCTGGGCTATCTGACCCCCCTTTAGCACTTACGTGCCAATTCATTAGTAACGTCTTATCTACGATTAAAGGAAATAAGCAAGCTACAAAACAGTAACGTGCAGAACAAGCTCACTGACTTTGAGTGTATGCATAAAAACGACAGGAAAGCTATAAATCAAACGTTCATTAGGGTCATCCCTGAATAATACAGTTACAGCTGATTTTAGTTTTCACCCTTGCGATTTTCTTAGTTTTCAAAATATCTGCAATGAAAAGAAAGGGTTATGTGATGGTCTGGGCCCTGTACTTGCTACTGCATGTGTACAGAAATTTTTAAAAGACCTGACCTATTAAACAACATCAGGTTATTGTTTTTCCTTTTAAATAACTATGAAAACATCGGGGGGGGGGGGGGGGGAGGGCTGGGGCTGCGGATAGCATTTACCACTGTTCCAGAAATTTCTCCTTTAAGATGTATAAAACATTATTAGACCCTTCTTTGCTGTATTTAACGCAGAAGTTGTTATGAAACCATAAAACAAAACAAAAAGCCCAACAGTCATTATAACACAAATATTCAACAGCTTTCTACAAGGAAAGAAAGGCTGTGCAGTGCATTTGTAGCTATCATTTCATTACCTTTTCTGTAAACAAGTCTGCTGACAACAACAACAGTTATTACACTATCATGCCTCCTAAATGGGTCTGGAGTGAAGTCAGTAGGATCTACAGCATTAGGAATGACGGACACTATTTCAGGATTCAGTGCTGCTCTTAGCACAGTGTTTTCCTTACTAGTGTAAGAGACACAAATTATGTGGTTTGTGTCACAAAGAGACACAGTTAGAAGCTTGTTTGTAAGCACCGAGCTGACATCAGCAAATCCAAAAAGGGAATGGTCCGTGAAGACTGTCTGGAGGCCCATTGTCTTGGCGTGGAAGAGGGCATCATGGGCCATGGCAGAAAAGGAACTATGTGAATGGATTATCGTGACTCTCTCCCGAACAAATATGTACCTGAGCAATGGCAGACTGTGAAAGAGGGTCGTGGCTGTAGATTGGTTGTACATGACTTTCAGAGGCAAGTAATAGACTTTGAGGCCATTAGTGAGGTAACGGATGCCTTTGCGATTTCCATAAGCATGGGTGACAATTATGACCTTGTGCCCTCTTTCAATCAGGCACTGAGAGAGCTGGTAAATGTGGCCTTCCACGCCTCCCATATTTGGGTAGAAAAAGTCCGACACCATGCATATATTATGGGTACAGGTTCTACACGTGGAAAGACGTCCAGGGCTGACATGGGAGAGTGAAGCTGAGGGACGCTGGCCGTGCCCACCTCCTCCTCTACAGGCCATGCTGAGATGGTTTAGGCATTAGTCCTTAGAGCAACCCAGTTAAGATATGTGTCCTCTAGTACCTGAAAGAGAGAGTAAACAAGGATCTAAGCTCAGAGACAAAATACATTCCACACTCCAAATCCAGACATAAATATTCTTTTAATGTTAATCTGTTAGCTTTTCCCCTAGAAATAAAACAAAGCGTATGATGAATTCATGCATTTGACAGCATTTACTTGCTTAGTACTTACTGTGTGTCATACAACAAAACTAGACTCTGCATGTCCTTATATCTTAATTTTGCTCTAAAAATACTGTTACACATAATCTTAAACAATGTTTGTTACACCAAAGTATAGAATACTTTGCCAGGTTAACAAACCAGTTCATTCACATAATAAAACATATGGATCTTGACAGAAAAGGTTTGCTAACCCCACTTTAGAGCTTAGCCATTGACTCAATGAATCTCATCAAGTTCGCTAGCATTAAGTCTGTGGTTTACACTAAAATATACCTGGAGTTAGAACTGTCTTTTGAGAGCAGCTTTTTAAAGTGTCACCTGTAGCACATGCCACACACCTTATTTTCTCCTTCCCTGTTCAACAATGGTGATAATCAAACCATTCCCCTCATTTTCTTAAACTTTCAGTTATGTATATCTTCCCTCCATGAGTATCCCTCCCTTCAGTTTGGAATCGAAAGATAAAAACTAAACTAGAGACGGGCTGGATCTGGGGCCATTTTATACCTCTAAAGTAGGAAATGTTCAGCTCAGGGGTCCCCGAGATCATCAGCGCAAAAATCATCAACTCAATATTCAGTATGATTACAGATTCTTAGACATTTAAAGCTAAAGAGAATCTTGGAAAGTGAGTGAAACTCCTTCTCAGCTTTACAAATGAGATTTCCATGCCTCCAGAAACTCAACTATACAATGGGAAGCCATCCTAAAGGTCTGAGTTTCTGATGTCACCGCAAACTCAGAAAATGCAAAGTAACAGCTTGTGCAAAGTCTATTCTCTCCAACAAAGTCATGTTTATTTTAAATATTGTCTCAGAAATACTCAATGACTGTTTGTTGAGCTGAATTTGCTAACTACAATTCAATATTACCAAATCATAAGATTCTTCAAGTCTGTACTTTTAAGTGGCTTCACGAACATTTTCTTACTGTGGTTTGTCACCTAAACCCGAATTGCCAGTTCCATTCAATTTTAAAAGATGAATGGTAACGAAAACTGTGAGTAAAGCACCAAATGAAATCATTTAAAGTTCTGTCATTAGCCTGCAATGTTCTGTGAGAAATGTGCCTATCACGGTTATCACGCCTAACACTTTCATAAGGGCACAATCACAGAATCTTAAAATTTTAAAGTTGAAGAAAGGCTTGGAGATCTAGTGAATACCTCTCTCATTTTACGAATGAGAAACCAGACAAGTTGAGCGATCGGTCCAAGGTCCCCACCCAGCCACTTGAGCGGCAAATGCGAGACGGCCGTAAAGTCCACGGTCAACAAGTTCCTAGACAGTTATTATCAGCAGAGACTCCAGAGAAGCCTTAGGGTGACCCGGCGGGGGCTTGGGGTCAAAAGGACGGTGCTTCCACCCACCCGCCGAGCGCCGTTCCAGCTTCACTCGCTGAGGGGTCGCTGGGGAGCGCCAGGGCCAAGGAAGGGATGACCCCGCTCAGTCAGCGACCCCGGCGCAGTCAGGCGGGGTCTCGCCAGGCCCAAAGGGAGGAAAACGGCCAAAGAGCGAGCAGGAGGTCGAGGCCGGGAGTCCCAGAGCCGTTCGCCCCGCCCGCCTTAGCCGACGCGGAACCGGCTACAGCTCGGCGGCCCCAGCGCTCCCTCAGCCCCACTCGACTCCGGAGACCCTCGACCCCGACCTCCGACCCTCAAGCCGACTCGGCTTCGCCCCCTGCATCATCGGCCACGCTCCCCTGAGGGCAGCTCAGTCCCATCTGGAAGCGGCAAGGAGTACCGGCGCGGGAAGCTCAGACACGCACTTACCAGCGAGTCCCATGGCCGCCAGTGTCCGGACCTCCCGCGGCTGCAGCCGGAGTCCCGCCCCGCTGCCCCGAAGCACCAATCAGGGGCGTCCGCGCCCGAGCGCCGCGCCCCCGGAACAGCCAATCACAAAGAGGCGCTGGGGTCACATGCAGGAGTGACGCTCAGTCCCCACCCTTCAGCGCGGGGTGTAACGTCAGCGGGCGCCTGCACAGTTGCCACTATGTTCCGGAAGACTTGTTTTCTCTGTATTGAAAGCACTAATCCTCGGTTTAACCTTTTATATGAATTCTGAATATTGAGATTCTCTAAAAATCGGCCTTGGGCTCTTGTTACACAAGCAGCCCACCGGGACCCTTCGACGGGGTAAAACCAGTACTCCCAGCGTGCCTCGCAGCAACTCTTTGGCGCTCCTGGGAGTTGTAGTCCCGTGGCCTTCGGAGGCGAATCCGAACTTAGAAAACTCACTCCCAGGATGCACCGCACTTCTAAACGCGGGTCTTGCGGACCGTCGGGTGGGTTCGCGCCTTGGTTGTCTAGGTACAGCGTCCCTTTTCTGGAAGCTTGTTCTCTGGCTTCCAATTGGAGAGACTTTTGGCTGGGAAGGCTACAGAAAGCTGGGGTCATGGTGGGGTTTTGTTTGTTATTATCTGTGCCACAGCAGACCTGCCAGTTTCTTACCATTCTGGTAGGATTGCTTGATGTAGTAAATACAATACACAAAAAGTCAAGTCAAAGTTTTTAGTAATTTGAATTTCAAATAAATATTTTTTAATATGTGTGTCCCAAATATTGGGGTCTTTACTAAAAAAATATTCGTTGTTTATCTGAAATTCAGATTTAACTGGGCACGTTTCATTCTACCTGGCAACCCTCCACTCTGGAGGAAAAAAACCTGAGGTCTGACCTGAAATATCAACTCCCATTCAAACTGGTTCAGCTGGCTATGGTGGTGCTTGGCCAAGAGGCTAATGAATCACTGGAAGTGGTCTGATGGTCATCCAGCCCTCACAGTGGGTACACAGGGTTCCCCAGCCGAGCAAATGCCTTCCTGAGCGCCATCACCACCATCGTTGCCAGCACCCATCTTAAGCCTGTAGAAAGCCTGTTCATCCCTGAAGATTTCGGCTCCTTTCTGATGCCCTACCCAAACTTCCAGAGAGAATTAAATCCTCCCTCTTTTGTATTTTGACAGCCCTTTGGCCATATGCTGGTATAGCATTTATCAGGTGATATTCAATTTGTTTGCCTGTTCCCCCTCACACCCCCTCCCCCGCCTTCTTCCTCAACCTGATCCTTGGAGACTTGTGTTTTCTTGGGATCTCACATGGACTGCTTTCTGAAAATTGGCATTTGTATTTGCTTGTTAAATGTCTGCCTTCCCAGCCAGGGAGTAAGCAGAAGCAGGGTCTGTTCCTGGTACTAGACACTGAATACGTTTTAGCTGTATTAATGCCTGTGCTCCGCAACGGGAGAGGCCACAACAGTGAGAGGCCCATGTACCACCAAAAAAATAATAATAATAAAATAAAATAAAACTAGATATCACCTTCCCTTGAAATTCAACTCTTTGCAAATTCATACGTAAATTAGCTCTTGGATAATTTTGGAGTGGGAAGGCAATGAATTTGTATGGAGAACCCACTATCTATATATATACAAGGCACAAGGCAGGGGAAAACTGGCATGAGCTTTACCAGCAAGGAAACAAGGCAAAGTTAAGGCATATGTAAATATCTATGATAAAAGGTAGGAAGCGATAAATGTCACAAAAGAAATACAAGAAAAATACTGGGAGTTCAGAGGGAAAGAGTATTTCTGGCTGCCAGCATTTAGCTCCTGGAAGTAAAGAGTGCTCATGCAACTGCTGGGAGCAAGATTATTCCAAGAACAACGTGACCGGGGTACAGAGACAGATGCTGACTGTCCAGTGAATGCTGTTGTGCAATTTCACAGCGGGAGAGAAGGGGAAGGGTTCAGATAGGAGAAGGGCGGTATTTCCAGGGAAGGTTGGAGAAAACTGATAGAGGATCTTACTATGGAAAATGGATTTGATGCTGAGCCAGACTTCCAGCCAAGATGACACTTTCATTTAATATTTTGAGATTCCTCTCTTCTCATTGTGCTTCAAAAAGAAAAACAAGAGACATAAATGAGAAAATTCATGTTATAGCTGTGATTAAGATCCTAAATATTTCCATGTATCAGAAACAGAACCAAAGTGCAAAACGGTGATCAGAACCAAGCCACACAGGTCCTGTACTCTGTATGTGGAAGCAGGAAGACACTGACGAGGGTTCAGCTCTTGTAAAACAATAGAGACTAAAAGGTCTCCATGTGTGGCTAGAGACAGGAACCAACCCTGTGGGAGACTGTTACATGGTGGCCTTCAATGAACCATTTTCCTATGTTCACACCGTTGTCTAATCCCTTCCCACATCAACTCTAGGCTTGGCCACGTGACTCACTTGGCCAATGGGACATCAGTAAATGAGATACAGCAGAAGCTTAGTATGTGCTTATGCACTGAGGCATGTCCTGTTGGAAGCTCTCCTCTTGAAAGCCAGTGGCTATGCTGTGAAGAAACTCAGGCAAGATACTGAATGATGAAAAGCCACCTGGAGAGAAGCCCTGGAGAATAAGAGTTCATCTTGGGCATTCCAGTGGCAGATGAGTTCCCATTCACTGGTCACAGAATCAATACTTCACTATTAACTAAATAATTATTTATTAGGCACCCACTACATGCCAAGACATTGTTCCCACTCTGAGGATTATGAGTAAATGAGACGAAGTCCAGCTCTTGTTGAGCAAATGACCAAATCCATTAAGCTCACAATTTTCACCCAACTCTTCCTTTCCTTAAAAGTCTTAAAATGGATTATTTGTGTCATCTCCTTTATCAAGTATCTCAGGCAGTATTTTAATCTCATCCAACTCTGACCATTATACCATCCAATCTGTTTCCACCTCCAAAGGGTCTCCCACCACGCTGCTGTAGTCACAGATTTATGATCTGTGCTGTCCTATTAATGCATTTTCTGGCCTTGTGGCTTAGATAATCAGGGACATCATGCATCGCTGGCATTTATCGTGTTTGCTTTAAGCTCTCGGGGCTTTCTCACATATTTTTATTTTGCAACACAATTTTGTGGGTTGAAAAATTGCAGCTCACGTTCCAAAGCTATTAGTATGACAAATATTCCTGTACGATGACCAGTGAACTCTAACAAGGCAATAGGCCAGTTCCGCCACCTCCACCCTAAGGACCCGCTCCATCCCAGCCGAGACCTAGCCTCAGGGAATCCAAGTCCAAGTCTCCTGGTGCTTAGAGATGGTTGGGCAGAAAACAGGGGGCCAGGTTTTGGAAGTGGAAAGCCGGATCTCGGATCTCGTATAGCTTTGTCCAGAGTTCCCTATAACATCTCCATCTAAATGGCAATTGGGAAGCCAGAGCCGCTAACCAAAATGTGGTTTGAGTTGGTTTTAGGGCAGATCCAGGAATCCAGTATAAGCCAAGAATTTTGCTCACAGTCATGCTTCTCTTTTGGCGGATAATCCCTTTAATATGTAAAGTACATTGTATTTTTCAAATTGTTTTCATTTATGGAGTGAAATTAACAACTCTGAGATACAGGGAGATGAGATTATCACTCATGCCTTTAGCAGGAGAGGAAGCGAAGGCACCATGAGGAGGCTTGGCCTCATAATGCCATTAAGTGGCAGAGCCTGTCCTTCAACTCAAGTCTTTTGTCCTTGTCTGGGATTCGACCTCTCTTTTTAACCAATCAAGATGAGCAAAGTGACTCTAATTGAGCAGTGTCCCTTGGACCATCTGCTGCCCCAGCTCTCAAGGGAATTTAACCAAATACTATTGAGGAGGAGAGAGTGGTAGAAACTGAATGAAGGGACAGAGCGAGAAGCTGAATGCTAATACATTTAAGAAACTAAGTTACCTGTGAGCCCTTTCAGAAGCCTGAGAATCAAACAGTACAACTAGAAGAAAGAAGGCCCATTGACATAAAGGTCATAAAGTGAGGACAAAAGGGACAGTGACAGGACAGGAGTGACTGGGCCAACACCAGTAAATGATGAGGCCATGGTAATGGCTGCACTGTGGGGACTGGTCCCAGGCAAGGTCAAGATCAGCTGTGTCCCCAGGGTAGGGGCTGAGAGCTAAGGCAAGGGAGGAAGGAAGGAAGCAGAGGGCCCAGAGCCACAGCCTCCGAGAGAACTTCAGCAAAGGACGGGAGAACCTGGGAACTGCTTAGGAACCCTGAGAGAGGAAGGGCAGGGATTTGGGACAGGATCCAACCATTCTACCACTCGGCTCTAGGAGAAACAATACAGTTTTTTGCTATGTTTATCATTCTTTATCTCCTTATTATTGTACTGCTCCAGATGGTCTGGCCTGAGAAACTTGGGTTACACAAGTTTGATCAGGACACAGTTCCAATCGCAAAGAGGTCACAGAGTAGTGGGGAGATAACGTGAACATAACTATTTACAAAAGTGTGCAATAAATGTAATAGATTATGTGTGTATCTATCATCTATCTACCTACCTACCTACCTACCTACCTATCTATGCAAGATGCTTGGGAGAGCATCAATTTTTAAGTTATTTGCTAAGTAACTTAGTTCCGCTAGAGCTGCTAAATTCCCTGTTTTACCAAACTTTTCAGTAAATCTACACCATCAACAAGTTATTTGTGGGAGTATTTGAGCAAAAAAGCAAAGGAAAAACGCTTGTGCTCCCTTCCTGGGTAGCTGTGGAAAAGAGAGATGAATCATGAGGCCCTGAGAACTGAGATGTGAATGAGACTGACAGTTGAATAAGCGCAGAAACGTGGAGCTGGAGGTGGCCGGAAGAAATATACAGCCGCAAAGATGTCAGGGGCACCAGTGGGCTCTCCTCCATCAAGTCAAGTTCAACTGGGGGTCAAGTCAAGGTCAACTGAATCTCAAAGGAAAGACTGATGTCCAGCTGATTTGGGGGTCACATTTATTTAACCTCGTTTAGAACCTTAAACCTTCTGAGACCTATTCTTTCGGTTTCCCAAAAGTGGAGTCTAGTTTTCTTGTGTTCATGTCTCTCCCACACCTCGCACTTCTGAATTCCTTTCTCTCTGTAAAATGTTTTTTTATTTAGCATAAAATTTAGAGCGGTAGCATAGTCAATAACACACGAAATTCTCTGGCTTGAATGATGTGTTTATTTTCTTTAAATACACTTAAATATGAAACAACAGACAGTAGTTTGGTAAACTCAAAACTACAAGCTGGACAGTAATCAGATAATCAGTGCTGATCATACAAATCAAAATCGGCATAAGAAAGAATCAGAATAATTCACAAGAGAGTTGCAATTAGCAAAGGACTCGAAGACTATGCGAACTGCCTCATCTGCTCTGAGTAATTAATCACATGGTACCTGTCATTCCACGATGATCAAACCTTTTTCACTCTCCATTCCTTGGTGTGCAGAGCACCTTCAGTTAGAAGACATCTGTCAGAGAGCCAGGGGATCCTCAGCTGGTGTTTAATGGAAGGTCCATCTGGATTCACCATAGTACTATGTAACGCGGATTTTTTTTCTAACACCTGGAACAGTGACAGCAACTTGGCAAAGCAGCATGCTGTTTAAAACGACAGGGATGGGGAACTGGGTGGGGATCAAGGCTGAATCAAGGATTTTCTCGATCGTGGAGCCCATGGGCGGCCCTTCTCTCCTTTGGAAAGCGGCAATGCTTTGGACATGCTGGTTTTCCATTTGCACAGGTTCTCATGTGAAAGGGGCATCTGTCCTCACAGCTGTTACAAAAGAAAATAAACATGAGAATTCAGAATCAAGGACTAAATTCCAACGAAAAACTCTGATCTGATTTGATTACGTTTTCAAAGTAAATTTTCCAGATACATATTTGAAATGTCAATATAAAATCCTGATGGTTACCCCACATGGTTTCAAAATCTATTAAAGCACAATTGCTAACTTCTAAGCGTTCTATTCATCAGTGAAGTTCTTGCTATATAAATCCAATGACATCCCCTTCCTCAAAGAAAAAAAGCAAACATATGTGGATATATATTGAGAGAGAGATTGAGCTAAAGAGTCAGCTGATCTGAAATAATAATTGTTGAAATTTCATCAACTTTAGTTTTTGCTTAAGATCCATAAGCCAACAACAGTAGGCAGGATTTTCTGGATTTCACAGTCAATCATCACTCTATATACTTATTCCGTAGTTGCCAAACCTCTGTTTTACTATCAAAAAGGGGGCTTGGCACTGAACAGTAAAATTGGCTTAATAAGGAATCCCACCAAATCTAAATGGTATTTACATTAAATGTCAATGGGCCAAATTTAGGCAAAAGTGCAAAAGTCATTCACCTGCAGGTGTCTGGGTGAAATATCTTGTGCTTCTGGCAGCAGCTCTCCAGAGTTTCTCTGCACTCAATGCAACTGCAGTTTTCTGGGTGCTGGATGAGATCTCTGGGACATGGCGTTTTACAGACACACTCACAACGATCTTCATCAAACTTCATGTGTGGACCGCAGAGAGCCAGCTCCTGGAGATGAGCGTCATCTAAACGGAAAAAGTGTTGGTCAAAAAATACACCTCACACCTTCCAGGCTATGGGTAGAAACAGTGATGTATTTCCCCACCGCAGATCATAATACTAATATAAAGGATACAGCAGTGACAATGAACTTTGATTCCACAGACATCTGTCGGAAAACATGATCAGCTGAGAGAGGAGGGTCTGAGAGGTCTTTGACACACTTAGCTGACCGATATTTCTTCTAGAAAATATACAAAACAACTGGATAACTACTACCCCATGTCCAATTCTGATCATCGAGTTGAAATTCATTGCAAAAAACAGAGGAGACAGAAACTTTGGAAGAACTTGACAATGTCACCTTAGCATTCTTGAAAGGCTCGGAGGAAAGTTAAGTGTTGAGTTTCTTCCCCAAACCTGCTTCTCTCCCAGTGTGCCTCACTTAGTGAATGGTACCACCACTCTTGACTCACCCGCCATGTTGAATCTAATTACCATGTCCACCCAGTTCTGCCTCCCGGAATTTATTCTTTTGTATCATCACTGCCACTGCCTCAATTAAGTCAGTACCTTGTACTTTTTGTGCAGATGGCACTCATTCACTTCAACACAAGTTTTATCCTTTCAATCCATTCTCCACAATATCAAATGCAAATCTAATCATGTCACTCTACTGCTTTATTTTTTTTAATTTATTTATTTTTGGCTGTGTTGGGTCTTTCGTTGCTGCACGCGGGCTTTCTCTAGTTGCTGTGAGCGGGGGCTACTCTTCGTTGTGGTGGGCGGGCTTCTCATTGTGGTGGCTTCTCTTGCTGCGGAGCACGGGCTCTAGGCATGAGGGCTCAGTAGTTGTGGCTCGTGGGCTCTAGAGCACAGGCTCAGTAGTTGTGGCGCACGGGCTTAGTTGCTCCGCGTCATGTAGGATCTTCCCGGACCAGGAATCAAACCCGTGTCCCCTGCATTGGCAGGCGGATTCTTAAGCACTGCGCCACCAGGGAAGTCCCTGCTCTACTGCTTTAACTACCTTAAAAGGTTCTCTCTTCCCCAATAAGAGTCAATTTCCCCACCAAGACATAAGAGACCCTCCATGAGCTGGACCCTATTAACCTCCCAGACTCATCTTCTGTCTCTCTCTCACGTACCCTATGTTCCTCCATACCAAATTATAGTACTTTCAGTTCTCGTGATATGTCAGGGTCTCTCAACCCCATGCTTTTCGCCTTGTCGTTCCCTTTGCTAGTCATCCTTTCCCCCGATACCTTTCCCAACTTCAAATTTAGTTAAGTGCCCTACCCTGTGCATATTTCCATTCTGTCCTTTCTGGTACTGCTTACATTTGTCTGTTTATTTCTCTGTTTCCTCTGTTAATGAAAAACTCCTAAAGGTTATAGGGATCAGGTCTCATCGTTCTGGCATAAAATAGGCACTTGAAAAACATTTGCTGAGTTTATCTGTTGTAATAAAAGGGTCCTGAAGCAGGCCGATATATGGAGATTCTGAAGAATCCCATCTAGCATTCCAAGACATTGGGTTAAGGCATATGGTCTTGCCAGTATCTGGCCATTAATGATATATCAAAATGGCAGTCTCATGTCATCCAATCTCACAGTCTTAACTGCTCTGTGACTGATGATCTTTGAGGGCTCCTGTGGAATGCGTATTGAAAGGCTAGATCTGAGGATCCTCCATTCTGAATTGTGTGAAGAGGAAGAGGGTAAGCTTTGTAAGCCATATGCAGATGCCAGATGTCACTTTGGGGCAAGACGAGACTAGACAGAAGCGCCTAAAAGATTTGCATGGATCACTAGGTGGCAGTAGAGATTCACTTAGAACACTTCAGGCTGTCCCAACTCCATTCTTAGAGCCGTGGTTTAGGGAAACAGTCTACCGGGTATTTGCTGAACTTCAACAAGGTAGCTGGCAGTGGCTGACCTCGATCCTTATAGATAAGTTGAAAGTGACAGAGAATGGACGTAGGAGAGCTGAGTGAAGCGGTAACTAGCTAAGGGTGATACCCCATGTATTGTGTATCAATTTCAATCCTAGGGAAGTTGATGATGGGATACCAACGTGTTAGGTCCTCAGCCTTGTTCCATTTATCATTTTAAATCAATAAACTGATGGAATTTTTCCAAGTAAATTCTTGAATTTGTGGGTATCTTGAAGAATTTAAAATCCAGAATCAGGACTCCCTAATTTTTTTTCTTTTTTTGGTATTGTTACTTTTCTTGTTTGTTTTTTAAAACAGTTCAGAGCAATGGCCTGAATCTAACAAGATGAAATTAAATTGGACTTGGATTCACTAACTCACATATGCTCATCCAGGGAAGAGAAGTTATTATAGAAAAGGCAGCTGGCTTAATAGCCACGTGTGTGGGAAGAAAAAGTATTTAGTGAACAGTAAGCTCAATATATGTCATCAGTTTGATGAAGCCACTGGAGAAGTGACCATGAACTTGGCCCATATTAACTGAGTTGCAAGAGATGAAAATGAGAAGTGATCAGAAGCGATCCAGGCTACCCCATGCCTCTCACTTCCATCATTGCCACAACTTCCTAAAAGGTCCCCTTCCTCCTTGCCTGCCCCAAGTCAACCCATCCTCTTGTACACTGTCACTCGGTTGATTTTGTTAAAATTCTAACTGGTGCTGTCACTGTCCACTTAAACCAGTTGAGTGGTTTCCTTTTGCGTTTAGCATCACGTCCAAGCTCTGGGACACGCTTTACAAGGGTCCCCTGTGAACCTCTCCAGCTTCCTCTCTCACATCTACCCAGCCCCCTCCTGTAACGTCCCCACCATGCTGACCGTCTTCCAGCAGCCTGACGCGCTGCGGTCTTTCACTTCCAGCCCTGAGCGCTCATTTTTCCCTGGCTCAGAGCACTCCTCTCTTTCTCCACTACTCTTCCCGCCCTCAACACACATGGGCGCCGGCTAAGTCCCTCCCCAGGAATTACCTTCAGCAGAAAGAAGCTGCCTCACCCAAGGTTATATCTCCTCTCTGAGGCAGCCCACATCCAGTGACGAGTCCATAGGACCCAGCCCCTTTGCCTCAATTTGAGGCGTCCCCCCACGGGCTGTCCCAGTTTCAGCTCCCCACAGGCTTGGCTAATGCCTCTCAGCAACTGCAACACGGTTCACCTTCTCCCTCTGCCCAGTCCTGCCCCCGACCCTTCACCTTTGAAAGCAGTCCTGCATGTAAACCTCCAAAGTACAAATCTCTCTCCCAGGAGCTGTGTAGCAGGAAAAGTTTGATTAGAACAGCCTTTAAGTTCTATGTTTACAGCTTTCCACGATAACTTCCTTTTTAAAAAAATTTTTATTGGAGAATAGTTGATTTACAATGTTGTGTTAGTTTCAGGTGTACAGCAAAGTGAATCAGTTATACATATACACATATCCACTCTTTTTTAGATTCTTTTTCCATATAGGTCATTACAGAGTATTGAGTAGAGTTCCCTGTGCTGTACAGTAGGTCCTTATCAGTTATCTATTTTATGTATAATACTGTGTATATGCCAATCCCAATCTCCCAATTTATCCCTCCCCCCCCTTCCCCCTTGGTAACCGTAAGTTCGTTTTCTACATCTGTGACTCTATTTCTGTTTTGTAAATAAGTTCATTTGTGCCGTTTTTTGGATTCCACACAATAACTGTCTAACACATTTAAAAATGGGTCACATGGAGAAAGAATGAGATTGGTTTTACATGGTTCTATAGGGTAAAGCTGAACTAACAAGCTGATGCTCTAGAGCTGGGCTGTCCAACATGCTGGCTACGGGCCAGAATGAGCATGAAATGGCAAGTGGGAATTGAGATGTGCTCTAAGTGTAAAATACACACTGGATTTCAAAGACTCAGCACAAAGAATGAAGGGTATATCCTTGATAAATTTTATATTGCCTGCATGTTGAAATGAGAGTATTTTTTAAATATTAGATTAAGTAAAACATTAATTTCATCTGTTTCTTTTAACCTTTTTAATGTGAGTACTATAAAATGTAAGTTGCATATGTGACTCTCACTGTAATTCCACTGGACAGCACTCTTCTAGACAGAGAGAGAGACAGATTCAGGTTCAATATAGTTTATTAGCAACAAGAGTGTGCCCAGTGTAACTGAGATGCCTCAGTGGGTTTGTCAAGTTTCCCCATGACTGATGCATCCTCTAGCAGAGGATGGCTGAAGACTTGGTGGGAAGGATGTACATGACATTCAAGATTGGCATGGGCATTTACAGAGTTACTGTATGACCCAGCAATCCCACTCCTGGGCATATATCCAGAAAAGACAAAAACTCTAATTTGCAAAGGTACATGCATCCCAATGTTAGCACTACTTACAATAGCCAAGACATGGAAGCAACCTAAATGTCCATCAACAGAGGAATGGATAAAGAAGATGTGGCACATGTATACAATGGAATACTACTCAGTCATAAAAGAGAATGAAATAATGCCATCTGCAGCAACATGGATGGACCCAGAGATTATCATACTCAGTGAAGTAAGTCAGAGAAAGACAAATATCATATGATATCACTTATATGTGGAATCTAAAAAAATGATACAAATGAACTTATTTACAAAACAGAAACAGACTCACAGACATAGAAAACAAACTTATGGTTACCAAAAGGAAAGGGGTGAGAGGATAAATTAGGAGTTTCGGATTAACATAAACACACTACTATATATAAAATAGATAAACAACAAGGACTTACTGTATAGCACAGGGAACTATATTCAATAACTTATAATGGAAAATAATCTGAAAAACAATATATATATAAAACTGAATCACTTTGCTCTATACCTGAAGCATTGTAAGTCAACTATACTTCAATTTTTAAAAAAGATCTGCATGGGCATTTAAACTGCATGAACTTTAAGATTCCCTCAGACCCTGGGTTGAGCTTTCATGAAAACACTTGGAAGCTGAGAGACTGAAGCACAGGGAGTAGCTTGTTATTTACAGTTTCTAGGACAGATTCCTTAGAGCTTAATCCTTACTAATCTTGCTTGTAGATCATAGTTGGAAACAAGCAAGGTTCAAATTGCATGATTCCTTACTATCTTTACAGTGGAATCACGTCAAGTTCTCTCAGAAGTCAATAAAAAGTGGATTCACTTTCAGCCAGATGTTCGTAATCAAAAATCAGAGCATTGTGAGTTATGTGCAGTGACGAGAGCCTAGCTCATCTGGTTCCCAACTCCTCTGAGCCCAACAGCTGTGTTTTGCTTTACTTTGCCCTCGTTTCAGAAGAATTCTTCTCTTATTCCCCATTTTTTTCAAATTATTGGCATGTTTTCCCATGACACAGTTGAAAGAAACCAACACGTCCAAAATGACCTTACATTCCTGTAGGACTTTTTATATAAATAACTTAGTAAAACGTGGTTGACTCGTGTTTCATTCTGAAGTGGCTTTCATTAAAGTTTATCATCCCCTTTCAAATTCAATGTTTTGGGATGCTCTAATCATTTGGGTCTTTAAGATTAAAAAGCAGAATGATGCATTGGTAGACTTACTATATAATTATAGCACAGAGGTCTCTGGAATCTCACTGCTTCTATCACTCTTAGCTGTGTGTCTAGAAAGTTACTAGACATTTTGGTGTGTCCATTTTGTAATTGTAAAAAAAAAAAGGGATACTAATCATACATTAGGATTATTGGGAGGATTAAATGAGTTGATACATATAAAAGGCTTACAAGATCGCTTGGTCAGTAAATACTAGCTGCTATTGTTGTTATTATTATTATTACTATTATCATTTCACCACTGCTATGATTACCTTCCATTCCGGCGAGTGGATTCTCCTCCTGTAAAACACATTTACATTTGTTGCTGTCCCAGAGCATGTCAATAGGACAGAGTTTCTTGGAATGGGAACAGCTAGGAGGAGAAAACAATAAATCAGATTTTAAAGCTTTCGAGAGCAGTCATACCTTTGGAACATTTTCTAAGAAACGTTGAATACATTTCTGAGTGGAGAACAGTGAAGATTTTTAAGGAGCTTAATTCATATTGATGAACAGCATGTTATTAGATAGTAATTCTGTAATTACAAATATTCTCTGTGGAAACGTTTGGAAACCAAACTGTAATTTTGGAAAGGTATAATCTTTTTAAGAGGATTGGTGTTAAAAACTATGTAAATTAGCTGTCAACAGAGCTTATTTACCCCAAGTGAATAGTGTTCTAACATAGCTCCTGAGCATTATGTCTGTAACACGGAGATAAGAACATTGGCCAGGACAGCAGGAAAATCTTGAGGATAAATATTCCTTTATTACGAGCTTTCTTTTCTACTTGGCACTCACACAGTGCGTTTACTCCTTTACTTGTGCAAGATCTAAGTATCCAACTTAATTACTTTGTATTTTTATTCAAGAGTTGTGATTTGCCCTTTGTTTCTCTGTAGTAAATTCTTTTCCCCCAAATCAATGATTCTTACCTTTGATTTCAGAACACTTGAGGGTGTCATAATTTGTCTCATAAAGAATCACAAAATACTCACAAAATGTCTAGTCAAATTAAATTTAAGTCATTTTTCATTTAAAATAATATTTCCCATTTGGTCAACTTAAGAGGAAGGCTTAAAAAACTACCAGAACCAGATGCACACCGTTGTGCCGCTCCCCAGTGACTCCAGGAGCCTACTTTCCCCCTCCTAACTTCGGGACTTAAAGATGTAAACAGCCTGAAATGGGTTTTATCTAATGCTTGTTCTGGAATGAGGGAACAGATGCCAAATCTGAGTCTGGAGTAGAGTTTTACAGCTGCATCAGACTAGGCATATTAAGAACAAACGTGCCCACAGCTTGACATGCTGAGTTCAAAACCACTGAACTTTCTGATCCTACTGCAATATACATGTAACACCTCATAAAAAATATACTTGCCAAACAGTTATTACCCGTAGATCTGGGTTAGAACCTAAAAGACAAAGAGCTTGAAGAGAGAGCGATGACTCTGTAATTAATGAACTATGCTCCACACACGGCTTTAGCCAAGGCAAGAACAAGCATAAAGAAGTGTAAGAAATGCTTACCGATCTTCTTCGGGGATCTGGACGGATCTTCTAATAATCGAGTACGGATGGCGGGGAGCTGTTGGCAAGCACTTACAACCTGTATGGTTGGCAACTTTAACAGGCACTAATTCAGGTACTGATGTCAAAGGTACTGATATCTCAAAGAGCTAGAGCAGAGAAAGAGAACTATAATACATATTTAAAAAAATAAGGATAATTTCTACAGTCTGCATTTTTGCCTTTGTCCCTTACGGTAATGACTTTAGCAAAGTCGTCCATTAAGAATACACTACCAAACGTAAAACAGATAGCTAGTGGGAAGCAGCCGCATAGCACAGGGAGATCAGCTCGGTGCTTTGTGACCACCTAGAGGGGTGGGAGAGGGAGGGTGGGAGGGAGGGAGACGCAAGAGGGAAGAGATATGGGAACATATGTATATGTATAACTGATTCACTTTGTTATAAAGCAGAAACTAACACACCACTGTAAAGCAATTATACTCCAATAAAGATGTTAAAAAAAAAAAGAATAGAGCTAATATGCAAACTATTATATATAGGATGGATAAACAACAAGGTCTTACTGTATAGCACAGGGAACTATATTCAATGACCTGTAATAAACCATAATGGAAAAGGATATGAAGAAGAATATATATGTGTATAACTGAGTCACTTTGCTGTAAAACCGAAATTAACACAACATTGTAAATCAGCTATACTTCAATAAAATTAAAAAAAAAACAGAACTAATAAGGCTAAGGGCTGGCATGAAGGAAAGAATTCTGGGCTGGGTGTCAGAAGACCAGGGCCTTAACCAACTTTATCAAGTATTTAAGTTTTGTCAAATCTCTTAAATTTTTGGTGTCCCTAGAATGCTTGTGAAATGGTAACCTTGTAAAATGTTCCCTGCTCCTGCTTTAAGTCTGAGTGTGAATTGTAAGGATTAAATGAAATTATAGCTATGAAGTTTCTTTGCAACCATGGTGAACAGATTACTGTTCAAAACTATTTACTTATCTCTTCCCATGCCATCTCCATTGGAGGAATACAGTTTTCTGTTCCTTGACTTTGGACTTGGCCATGTGACTTGCTTTGGTTGACAGGACATTAGCAGACACGACACAAGCACAGACTTGAACTGTGCGTGCATGCATTTGCTCTAGCCACGTGAAGAGCATGAGCTGGCAGGCTTGCTGGTCTAAGGGATACGAGACACAGGGACCGGACCTGGACTCAACCTGCAGCTTGCCACCAAGCCCAACTGAGCCCACTCTAAACTAAAGGAATCTCAGATATACGAATGAGAAAAAGCCATCGTTGTTTGAAGCCACTAAGTTTTAGGGTGTTTATTATGCAGCATTATATAGTAATAACTGACTGATACAAGACCATCATGCCCAAACAATGAGAGGTAACATGAATATCATTCCATGTTTCTATATGCTAGCCCCTGTTGTAAACACTTTTATATTAATTCATTTACCTTTGTAACAACATAATAGGGAGGGTTTTTTAAATTACCCCCCTCCAACTCTACAGGGGAAGAAACAGATGTACAGAGAGGTTATATATATAACTTGCCTAAGGCCATATAACTATTGATCGGAAGAGTGGGGATTTGAACCCAGGCAGTCTACTCTAGAGCTAGAGGGGATATTCTTAAGAATATGCCTTATTACTTTTTGCAATGAAATTGCTGTGACCAGAGGAAGCAAGATGGGATCTCCATAAGTAAAATTTACTTGCTGAGAATATCAGTTACTTTGTTTCTAGAGAGGCTCTCTGATGTATGGATGCATTTCAACTTGATTTGAATGCTCTGTCCATTCAATCAGCATTCCATGTAGTCCTTACTACATAGAGTCTTCATTTTATTCACTTAGTTTCTAAGATGTATTTCACTGAACAGTCCATAACTTTGGGATGAGAGGTAGTTTTTCTTTAAAAAAAAACCCCACTATTACAATGTTCAAATATGCATATTTGGAAAGAAAAACTGCTGTACATTTACACTTAAGCACATTCTTTAAAACTACTCATTTGTTGAGGACAGCAGTCAAAATACTCAATTATCCATTGTTAAGTGGAAGCAATCCATTAAAGTTGTGTTTAGTCTGACCTTTTTATATGTAATGGCGCGTCCATGAGTCTAAGTAAGCGGGTGTTTTTAAGAGTGTTTATTTTGCATGAACTTCATCTTCTTGCGAAATTTTTCAGCTATACTCTAGGGTATAACACGGTCATGAACTAAAGTCTCTTACGTTAACGTTATGCAAGCTTTGTTTCCACTCACAGTTGATGCTTAGCCATACTTATGTCATTTTTTCCCCTGACTGTCAAACAGCAGAGGTCAGAATTTTTACAAGTTCCAAGATTCTCTAAAAGAATTTAGAAAAAGAAACTCTTCAGTTTAAGGGATATTTTAAGTAGGGGGGAAAATTAAGGATAAGTTAACCTAGTATCAAACAAATCAGGATTCCATTCTTTCCATCCAGTTAAGATAATTACCTAACATGGGTATATTCGGTGCATGGCTAATTTTATTGTGCTACCTCTTTTCACGATCATGAGGCTAGATTGTAGAGGCAAATGTGACAATTAAATGAATATACCAATGTGCGTGAGGAATTTGCGACACAGAACCAAAAGGAATGTAGTTTGACTTACAGCTTTTTAATGTTTTGCTAAGTTTGTTATTACTGCTCTTCTATGCCACGTTTATTACATTTCCCAACAATACGGTAGTGACAGAATCAAAAACTTATCTACTGAGCAAAAGGAATTTTATAAGATGGAAAGGGAAGAATTATTTCTTTCATGGGAACTGGAGGATTATTTTCAAAGGTCTTTTGTGCTAGGTATTTTCCATTTGCGCCTCCGGAGACGCCATCCTCTTTCCTTCCTTCCCCACTGGGCTGTATCCCAGGATGCTGACCTCCATGGAATGCATCCATAGGCCCTCTTGCCCCCCACCCGCTTGCCGGGCTAAGGGCTGGCAGGGGCTGCCCCTCCTCCAGCCAGTCCTGCAGCCCGCTTCTCCATTTCCTCTCTCGGTTCCCATAACCGCTCCATCCTCTTGCCTCTTCAGTCTAAGGGTGGGAACAGCTCTCCCTTTCTGCCAGCTCTGGGTACGTCACCAGCCCTTTCTCCTTCCCCCACCCTTCACTGAACTCTTCTCAATCACTCCATTTGAACAACACGGAACCTAATGAATACACAAGTCAGTGTGGCTATCTTCGTTCCTTTAAACGTCTGTTCTAGTAACTTCTATATGATTTTCTGATCCTTGACATTATAGCATCAGAGAGACAGCAACTGACAAGGGTCCAGGCTTTGGAGTCACCTGGATTTGAATCCCAGCTCTGCCACAAGCTATCTCTTTGAGCCTCCATTTCCTCATCTATAAAGGAAGATGATAAGCTACCCATTTAGCTTATCTCAGGGTTCAATGAGATGACATACATAAAGCATTGAGACAGCGCTTGGCAATCAGCTGAGCTGTAGCTGTCGACACTATCAGCGTCAGGGCTCCGGGGAGGGCTGATGTCCTCATACCTGTTTGGAAACGTACGAGGTGCTGCTGTTGACACAGACGAGGCTCTCTTCATTGCAGCAGCCGCCACACCGGAACACGTTCACGCAGGGGGGCTTGAAGAACGTGTCAGTGCTTCTCCCCAGCTCGCCGGCCACCTCCACGCACGTCTCTCGAGGGCTGCACTGCGTCCTTTGCCATTCCTCATCTATAACTGCGGAGAGGCAGCTCGTTGGGCCAGTGGAACAAAGGGCCCTGACATGCCCACGTGTGCCAGGGTTACACTCAACACCGTCATTCTCACACGTGCAGCGCTTGGTGATTTTACCAGACGGGTATTTGGGGTCAGTCCTTTAACCAAGGATTGTCTGCAGAAAATTTACAACCAAAATCTACGTTCCTTCCCATTTATACGATCCCTTCGTAGACTCTAATTCTACCTTCCGTTGGTGATGAACACCATGTTCTGGATATGACTACACTGGGTACATCTGGAGAAGCCTGCTAATAAGGAAGTAAATAGAGGCACATAAAGCAATGACATGTAAGCATTATTTATTAAGCAATTTACAGGACACAGCTGGATGGCATTTCTGCTCCTTGAAGCCAGGTGTGGGCAGGTTTTAGCACCATTAAGAAATACGTTTCGGGAATTCCCTGGCGGTCCAGTGGTTAGGGCTCCATGCTTTCACTGCCGAGGGTGCGGGTTCAATCCCTGGTCGGGGAACTTTAGATCCCACAAGCCGTGCAGTGCAGCCAAAAAAATAAAAAAGAAAATTAAAAAAAAAGAAATACCTTTCTATTGGTTGCTTAACTAACTATATACGGCAAACACATGAATGAAAAGTTAAGTGGGGGCTTCCCTGGTGGCACAGTGGTTGAGAGCCCGCCTGCCGATGCAGGGGACACGGGTTCGTGCCCCGGTCCGGGAAGATCCCACATGCCACAGAGCGGCTGGGCCCGTGAGCCACGGCCGCCGAGCCTGCGCATCCGGAGCCTTGCTCTGCAACGGGAGAGGACACAACAGTGAGAGGCCCGCGTACTGCAAAAAAAAAAAAAAAAAAAAAAAAAAACTTAAGTGGAGCTTATCTTTCCTCAAGTCAGAGTGTTCTTATTTGCAAATGCCCGATACTGATGTTTCTATCAAATGATGAAATAAGCTGGTTCATTTTTTAAAAAAATAAATTTATTTATTTATTTATTTCTGGCTGCGTTGGGTCTTCATTGCTGCGTGCGGGTTTTCTCTAGTTGCGTTGAGCGGGGACTGCTCTTCGTTGCGGTGCGTGGGCCCCTCACCATGTTGGCCTCTCTTGTTGCGGAGCTCGGGCTCTAGGCACACGGGCTTCAGTAGTTGTGGCACGTGGGCTCAGTAGTTGTGGCTCACGGGCTCTAGAGCGCAGGCTCAGTAGTTGTGGCGCACAGGCTTAGCTGCTCCGCGGCACGTGGGATCCTCCCGGACCAGGGCTCAAACCCGTGTCCCCTGCATTGGCAGGCGGAATCCTAACCACTGCGCCACCAGGGAAGCCCAAGCTGCTTCATTTTGATGAAAGGAGCAATACTCTGGCCATTCTAGCTAATTTGTGGGAAACAGGAAAAAGAAACAAGCCTCGGGGAATCAAAAAAAGATTACATACATTCTTGTAAAACATACTCGCCTTTCTCTCAAAGTTTATTTTTTTAAATTAGATTTTGATGCTATGATACTTAATGCTGCATAGCCTTTCTATGGACGTTTTTGGGAAATGATTCAATATTATGATAAAGACAATATTTAAAGACTTTCTTTTAGTTTGCCATGGAATTGTAGAGTTGATTATACACTGGGGTGGAGGGGAGTGGTGAAAACCCTTAGTGGTTGGCAGCTTCTCATCTGACCCTCCATCACGCCCACCTCCTGGTGTTCACACCCTGTATAATCCCCTCCTCTCCTTGTGGGCTGGACCTAGTGACCCGAATGTTATGAAGAGAACACAGCAAGAGCGATGGGATGGCACTGCCACGATTAGGTTAACAAAGACTGATTTCCATCTTGCTGGCAATCACCAACTCTCGCTGGCACTCTTTTGCCTTCTCAGCTTGCAGGCTTGGATGAAGCAAGCCATCATGTTGGAAAGGCCCACGTGGCAGGGAACTGAGGGTGGCCTCTACCTAACCACCAGTGTGGAGCTGGGACCCTCAGTCCAACAGCCTGTCTGGAACTGAATCCTGCCAACAACCTCTGAGTGAACTTGGAGGCACATTCGGCCCCAACTGAACCTTGGGATGCTGCCCGTGACCCAAGATGACACCTTGACTGCAGCCTCCGGAGAGACCCTGAAGGAGAGATACCAGTTGAGGCTATGTCTGCAATTCTGATCCACCGAAACTGTGCGATAAAAAAATGTTGTCTGAAGCAGCTAAGTTTTGGGGTAATGTGTTACACAGTGATAGATAAACTCTTCTCCATTTTTACCCCATCTTCAAAAATTTGTAAATGGTCTCTGCCCAGATTCTGAATTCCCATATATGTGAACGTGTTTCTACCAGAAGGGATAGAGAGAACTTCTATCTGGAGGATACAGATAAAACATTATTGTTGCAGATCTGACGCTAGTCTCTAAATTATTCTCTTAAAACATCTTTTCCACAGCCTTCTTCCTTTTCCGCCCATTAATCTCAGATTTCCTCATATGTTGCTTTCTTCAATCACTGAAAACACAAAATACGTTTGGCTGGCTGAAAAGCACTGCATATACTACACAATTTACCTAAACTCTGTTTTTTCATCATAAAACCTACTAGTCCAAGAAACCGTTTAAAATGCCTGATTACGAATATTTATATACAGAGTCTGAAGGCTGTAAACATGGGAGATAAATTACCCAGTTAGGTACTATTTAATTCACTATTATTAATCATAAGTCCTTGAAAAAACAAGTACTCAAGTTATAAAAACATTCCTTGCTTAAAATGCTATTTAAATGTTGCTTTCTATTTTCTTTTTTATAAAACTAAGTTTTCAAAGTCAGAACATTGTGTGGAACTATGACCAATGACACCGAGCAAAGGCTTCATATCTCTACTGTCATTACTACTGCCCAGCAGGACTGCTCCTCCTCAGGGAATTACCCTGAAATCCATGAGGGAGAGTTAGAGCAAATTATAATTGGGATACCACACCGATTTCATTATGTGCTGCTTCTAACTTACTGAGTAACTTTAGATGATTCTGCCCCCCCCCACGTAACAAGAGACATTTCAGAGTTGGCAAATTCCATATTATTTATGTTTTTTAAAAATATTTTTAAAAACTTTTTATGGTTTCCTTCTTAGAAAATGTCAATTTCGACATGAATGACTTTTTAAAATCACCTCCTCTTGGTTTTATGGTAATGCTTCTCTATCTCCATCTTCACAGAGCATCTCCAGGCTTGCCTCAGGCCTTCAAACACGTAATCTGGTTAAGGCCCTGAATCTCCAGATGAGGTCTGATCCCTTTACTTTCATGAAGTCCTTGCTCATTCACCACACAGAGACAACTAGAGCTTCAGACCTCTGGCTAAATTGGGTTCTAGGCCATGGTTCCAACCATCTCGACTCATTTAGACACAGTCATACAGATGCACACCAAGCATCCTCTTCACTCCCGGACTCTGGTGCTGCTAAGGTATCGATCCCACCTACGCACAGCCTTCCCCGCAGCCAACAATATTGTCCTTCTACAAACGGAAGAAAATAAAGATAACTCTACAGAGAAAGAAAAGAATAATTCTGGCTGAGCAGTCAATTTAAATTATGCAATAGCTACAATCCGATACCAGGTAATCCTATGTTCATCAAATCTGAAAGGCTAAATCATCAATGCCACGGTGGTTTCTTGTGCTGTTCTGACACATCATCAAAAGTTAAATGCCTAATTGGAGGCCGCACAACTGTATTTGGCAAGCATGTCATTCATCATAGGACAGTACATACAGACAATAGCTTGCTTGTAAAGACCCTCCAAACCTTACTACGGAAGAGTCATTCTCTTTATTTCAAATCATGTTATTTTCTACTCCAGCGTCTGGATTCTTTTGTCTAGAGAATTTCCCCCTCCGTTATTCTCCTAGTAATACCAATATGCATTATTCCAACTCAGCTTTTAAATTCTACTTTTCATTTTTACTTTAAAAAAAAAATCACAGAATTTTGAAGACATAAAAAAGCTATACCTAATCTATTGGTTTTTATCCATGTATGTATGGCCGTAGAATGCTCCTTATTAATGAATACCCAGGTTGTTTTACTTTTTAAGTAAACTCAATTATTTTTTTTTTCTATTAAGAACAGGCTTTCTGGGTTCCTTTTGCCCTCACATCTCTGAGTTAAATATATTTCCATATTGGGAAGTGTTATGTGGTGTTGAATTTTTGATCTCAAAATCATATTGGGTGTATTTCTCTGTGGAGTAAACCCAGGAAACCAGGACTCTCCACTAACACTGAAGCTATGAAACCAAAGACTCCCTTGTTTTTTTCTCCCAGACACGTGCCCGCCCTACTCAAACTTTTACAAGAAGTTGGCGCATTTGTTACTATCTGATAAAGAGGAAGAATTGGCCTCCGCACGCACACACCTACCTTTTAGCGTCTCAATGTCATAGAAAGTGGCCGCAAACCTGGTGGACCGATGGGATGCTGAGCGAGAGTCCGCGCTGGTGAGACTTTTGAGCTTCAGTCGGCATCTCCACAGCTTCCAGTCCTCGAAGTGGGTGATCTGCAGTAGTTCCTCCAAACCCGAAGCCGCCCTAATCTGCTGCTCAGATTGTTCTAACATTGACCGGGATGCCCGCTTAAAGCGAAACAAAACAAACAAAAAAACTGGCTTACAGGCAACTTACTCAAGTTCTAGTTTGTCTTGATAATATTCATTGCTAACACTTACAAATGTTAAGTAGAGCTAAGAAGAAATTAGATTATTCAAATGGACACCAGTACCTAGGAAAAATGACATCTAGTAGTTTTGATTCACATTCTGTTCATTTATGATTGATGGAATGACTTATTCCCCCTGGGTTCTCAGAACACGTAAAGACAGTATCGTAGTGGGTTGAATGGTGGACATTTAAATGACATGTCCACGTCCTAACCCCCAGAACCTGCAAAGATGACTTTTTTCCGGAAAAGGATCTTTGTAGATGTAATGAAGTTAAAAGGATCCTGAGATGAGGTCATCCTGGATTATCTGGGTGGACCTTAAATACAAAGATAAGCATCCTTATAAAAGACAGGCGAGGGAAGACACTGACACAGAGGAGAAGGATTTGTGAAGCCAGAGGCAGAGACTAAAGTAACGCAGCCACAAGCCAGGGGTCGCCTGAAGCCACCAGAAGCTGGAAGACTCAAGGAATGATTCTTTCCAAGAGCCGATGGAGGGAGGATGGCCCTGCTGACACCTTGATTTTGCAACTGGATTCCAGAACCGCGAGAGAATAAATTTCTGTTGTCTTCGCCATCAAGTCTGTGGTAATTCAGTATGGCAGCCACAGGAAACTAATATAGATTTTTAAATCACACTACTTTGTGCAGGAGCCAATGACAGTTGTTTTCATCTGTTATTTGGGACACTGACCCACAAAGTCTTGGGGACCCTGCCTACAGTCACACAAAAAGGAAAGATTTTAAGAACCTGATAATCTGTATTTGCTGACTTCTAACCCTCTGAACTTTTTTTTCCTTTTTAAACCTGTTTACTATTCCAAACACATGATTTTTTTTTCTGAAAAATACACTTCCAGAGCTTATGTTGAAAACTTCCTTCCCACACAGTTGCATGAACTGTATTGACTGATACAACCCATGGATTTATGAGGAAAAAAAAGACTTGGCTGATAAAAGATTTTCAGTATGCAGTCGAATTGTTCAAAATTAGGGACTTGGTTACATAATGATATATGCATACAATGAATACTATGTGATCGTCAAAACCAATGATGCAGATGTATACTGGGACAGAAGGAATTGAGTCCTCCCTGGAATGTGCTGGAGAGACAATAATGTAGTCTGTCTATGGTTAGGGACGTGGATTTTCTCCTGCTGAGCCTGTGGTTACTGAGTTTATGTTCTGCTGTGTGGTTTGCATACGCATGCTGAGGACTTTTTGTTTTTAGAGCTGGGGTGAGGGAAGGGAGAGAGGGAAGAAACAGTGTAGCTGCAGGACGGTGCTGAGACAGGAAGGTGGAGTGAGAGGTGAATGTCAGCTACCTGACAGGGGGAGGGGCAGTGGGGGAAAACGGAGATGTGCAAATGGCACTTCCATCTGGACGCTGGGTGGTGTGATGTACATCCCCCTCCACTGCCCCTCAAAAACTTTAGTTAAAATCTGTATCATTTAGCAGTGTTTTGGGAGTGGGTTTTTTTTCCTTCTTTTAAAATCTTTATTGGAGTATAGTTGCTTTACAATGTTGTGCTAGTTTCTGCTGTACAGCAAAGTGAATCAGGTATACGTATACATATATCCCCTCTTTTTTGGATTTCCTTCCTATTTAGGTCACCACAGAGCACTGAGTAGAGTTCCCTGTGCTATACAGCAGGTTCTCATGAGTCATCTATTTTATACATGGTAGTGTATGTATGTCAATCCCAATCTCCCAATTCATCCCAACCCCCTCTTTCTCTCCTTGGTATCCATACACTTGTTCTCTACATCTGTGTCTCTATTACTGCTTTGCAAATAAGTTCATCTATATCATTTTACTAGATTCCACATATATTGTTAATATACGATACTTATTTTTCTCTTTCTGACTTACTTCACTCTATATGACAGTCTCCAGGTCCATCCATGTCTCTGCAAATGGCACAATTTCGTTCCTTTTTATGGCTGAGTAATATTCCATTGTATACATGTACATCTTCTTTATCCATTCCTCTGTTGGGGATTTTTTTTTTAAGCTATGATGATGGATACCGAGAGTTGTCCAAAAGTGGGTGTTCAAAAGAGCAAGTGTGGTCCCAGTCATGTATGATACAGTTATATGTCTTTAAAAATTATGTGTGTGTAATGTACATTATATATACATATATATAATTAACTATGGTTAATCATATATATCAAATTAAATATATATGTAATATCTGGAGGAATATACATGAAAATATAAACAATGGTTAATTTTCTAGATCAACGGTTGTCAAACTACAGCCCCCTGGCATAATTTAGTCTGCTGCCTGCCTGTCTTTATAAATAAAATTTTACTGGAACACAGCCATGTCCATTTACTTACATATTGTCTACAGCTGCTTTTATTCTAGAATGGGAGAGTTGAGAAGTTGCAATAGAGACTTTCATAGCAGTTTCAGTCTGAAGCCACCTGTCCTTTTCTGGAACAATTCCTTAATGCTCTCCGTTGTTGTATTTTTCATTATTCCATGTATTATATTGTCTCTATTCTCTTCTTTGAAACATTTATCAGACATGTATTGGAGCCTTTTAATGACCTTACATGTGCTTTCATATTTATCTATTTTTTCCTCTTCATGTTTTTAATGTGACAAGTAATTTAATTGGTTTTTCTTCCCAATCACCAATTCTCCAACTGTGTGAGTCTAGAGTTTAAGTTTTTAATTTCAATGACCATATTTCTAATGTCAAATATTTCTACTTTATTCTCCTTCCCGTCTGCTTTTTGTTTCATTTCTGTACGTTTTTCCTAATTTGTCATTTTTGTTTTATGAATATTAGTCCTTTATCTCTTTGAGGGTTGTAAATAGACTTAAGTATTCAAATTGTTTTATATTTTAACTTCATATATATGAGTTCTTTCCCGATTATTCATTTTATTGGCTGTCTTTCTCAGTAATCATTACCTCTATGTGCTTTGGAATTTTGTTTAGTAGTTTCATCTTCATCGGGAGATTCATTTTTTCTTTCTTCATTTAAAGGTCTGTGGGGCTTCCCTGGTGGCGCAGTGGTTGAGAGTCCGCCTGCCGATGCAGGGGACATGGGTTTGGGACGCGGGTTCGTGCCCCGGTCCAGGAGGATCCCACGTGCCGCAGAGCGGCTGGACCCGTGAGCCATGGCCGCTGAGCCTGCACGTCCGGAGCCTGTGCTCCGCAGCGGGAAAGGCCGCGACAGTGAGAGGCCTGCGTACCACACACACCCAAAAAAAGGTCTGTGGTTGCATCCCCCGACACTCAGGGCCCTGGGTCCAGAATCTTACTGAGTGTTTATGACTCAGGGATCAGCTCAGTTCAAGCCCTGCCTCGTCCTCTGGCTCATGTTAAGCAGTTTCATAGACGACACGGCTCCAGGCAGCCAAGAGCAGTAACTGTTCCTCTTTCATGGATCTGCTGGACTGCACTCATGGAGCCCATTACCCACTGGAACTGAACTTGTGGTGGCCTCCACCTTCCAGAACAGTCCATCAGTTCTGTAGCTTCAGCTTCATGGTTTTTTAAAAAATTTATTTTTCTTGAGATACAGTTGACAGCACGGTATAGGTTTAAGGTATAGGACATGTTGATTTCTTCAGCTTCATGTTTTTGGTACCATTTCTGCAAACGTTTGCCATTTGCAGATGTTTACCATCCTGTGATAAATTTTACATTTTATCGATCATTGCTACGGACTATAAACCATCTCAAAACATGAATGTAGACGGTCATCTTGCTTGGAAGTCCAGATGTGAATGTGAATGTGTGTGTGTACATGTGTGCATGTTTTAATAAAGGTGGGAAAATCTTGAACATGTTTATGACCTGAAGGAAAGAACCAACAGAGAGGAAGAAACGGAACATATGCATGAGAAAGCAGGGACCTAGAGGGGTTGGTGTGACATAAGTTCCAGAGACAGGTGGACAGAAGATGAATGAATGAGAGGGTCTGGAAGAGGAGGCTCATAGAGATGATGCGGGTCTGTAGATCGCAGGACTGCTTGGGACCTATGATTTCTCACTTCTTTGAGAAGCTGGAATCAAGGCAATTTTCTGGGAGCAAGGGCTGGAGGAAGCTTGAAGAGCATAGATAGGGTTTGGGGAACAGGCACTGAATCTCAGGAGCGTGCCACAGCTGCTTCATCTAAGAAATCCGGGGATGAAATTGAATAACTGCCGATCTCTCCAGTGACTCAAATTCAATGATGTGCCAACAAGGCTCGTTTTTCAATAGTTTCTCTTTTCATGATTATTCATTCCCTCTTCTAATTGGACGCCACGACTACTTCATATTCAATCCACTCTGCGAAATAAAATTTTGTTACAACACTGCTTCCCCATCAAAATAATGAAAACAATCAAATGGCTTTTTATATGTTTTAAAAATTGTACTCTACTGAGAGGATTTTTATTGAGGCAAATCCATAAATACGGAATGATGAGGCTTCATAGCTCTTACAGGTTTCAATTCAATCTGAGAAATATTCTTACACTATCCAACCATGAGAGCTCAGAGGGAAAAAAACCTCTGGATTGAATTTAAGCCATTGAATGGCTCATACGACTTACCTCATCATAAAAAATGAAGTGTTTACTCAAGTACAAGTTATTTAAGCATACTTTAAGCCTCATAATTTAAAACCTAGTTTGAAATAACTGAGAAATTGCAGTTTATTTTGCTCTTACAAGTGGAGGTATTGAAAATTCGGAATAAGCAGAGACCTGACAACCAATTCATCCCGGGGTGGGCGTATGTTTACAAAGGGTCAAGAATAACTGTTTGTTTCCAAGAGGCTTTCTGCACTAGTTGATTTCTGTATAATTAACTTTATCTACTTGAGCAAGACGAACATTAAAATTAGAAAGCGTAAGTATAGGCCCCAGTACATATTTAAACCATGGATTTCAACGGTTTTA